TCCCTGTAATTTATTGAGCAGGGCCAGGCAGGATGCAATAATGGGACAAAAAGCTGTGGATCTGATATAAAACTTTTGCTACTGAAGAGGATTCATGCCTTGGACACACTTTTTTACAACCCAAATGGTTGGCTCCATGTTTACTAGGGCTCAGTTCATGCAAGCAGCTGTGATGAATATTTGACGGTTTTAAATTGTGAGAAATCAATCTAACTAGTCGCTTGAATCTTTTTCATTACTGTGTGCTACAGTAAAAAAATAGTTGGTAATGTGCATGTTTTAATAGTGCCTTAATGGGTATATGGGGCATATATAGGAAGTGTGACTGAGTATCTTTGCCTCAAATTATTTTGACAATAGAGTGGGACAAAACATGACACGCGGCATATCCATGTGCTGTGTAATGTAAACATGGAAAATCAAGAGGATCCACTTTCCTTTGGAGAAGGAAAGTTAGCCCAGAAACTCGGGAGAGGCGTGGCTGTTCTGCCCTTTCCTTTTTCAGCAGCCAGTAACTCTGGCCTAAACCAAGCTGGAAGGAGAAGGCCATCAAACTCTTCGCACCTGTCCCATATTAAGCTCCCGCCGCCGTCACTCAACTCAAACAACTCTCCTAGTGACGGGGAAGGCTAGGGAGGCGAAGAGGGCTCGGTCTCTCCTGCGCCTCAAGCAGCCTTCGCGCTCTTAATTAGTCCTAAATGATCCAGCGAAACACTAAAGAGTGACCCACCCAGCCTAAAGGAGGGGCTCTTAATTCTGCCCAATCAGAAGACGCCTTCGTTCTGATCCAGTACAAAAGATGCCGCCGCACCTCCCGAGTGAAGGATAGACTTGTGAAAGTGGTGTTCGTTTGGGGCAAAGATGAGTGACATGCTGGAGACCCAGGTACTTGGTGGCGTTGGTTTTAGGGTTTTGCAGCAAATGTTTCCTCATGGGAGTCCAGCATTAGTAAACTCGCTGATTAGCCAAACATGTTGGGTGCTGTTGTTTTAATCTCAGCTTTATTGACTTTTAATGCGTTTACTGACCAATACATAATTATGCATCGGTATTACATTAATATTACCATTCAGACTTTTATTCGGGTCTAGTTAGGAGTACAACGCTGCAAATTCACACTGCGCTCGTGTTTTACCTTCCCGCTTTAATTAAGAGGGCGTGGAGAGCAAATTATAGAGGCCCCGCCTTTCGTCCAATTTTGCCGTCCTCTAGTAATTCTTCAAGTTTCATGCTGAGTTGGTTGATTCCATACTAATAGAATATTATTGTATTCTAATACAGTAAACCAGAGAATAGGCTGCAGAAACCATACTAATAGAATATTATTGTATTCTAATACAGTAAACCAGAGAATAGGCTGCAGAAGCCTTTTTCCCTTATGGATTTGTTAATCCTTGCAATGAGTTTGCTGCATACAAGATTGAAAGAGATTGTTGCCCCTGAAGTACTCTGAACGTTCAGAAAGAGTTACATAAATGGTGGTGTTAAAATCAAGGCAATTAATTGCAGTGGAAATTCTTGGAAGAAAATGTCCCCAAGATAGTTGTAGAGGTCTACTTCAATGCTTTCCATTAGAGATAGTTACTACACTGGACTTGTGTTTATTCTAGATACCATCTCAAACATGGAGTGAAAAAATAAACCAGGCTAATAAAGCTGCCCTTCTGACTTGGGTGAAAAAGACTGGAATCCAGTTAGTGCAGATCAATGGGCAGAGAAAATATGGTGGTCCTCCACCAGGTGAGTAGAAAACTTAGAAAAACCTAGTACTGTAATCCAATGTTGTATTAATGTATAGCTGGATAGCCAGCAATGGCATTGGTGACATTTCCTGTTTCTTTAGTTATATACCACAACTTGCCTTTGATCTATATGTCTTGCTTATTGTAGCCTTTAGTCCTTTTCCAGGTATCAATGGTGTTTCTTGGCCTGCAAAATGGTTGTCTACATGCATTGCAAATCAATATGAACAAGGAACATTTCCCTAAATATTTCAGGAAAATACTTTGCAGATAATGTGACTTTTCCTTGTTCTTTCCACAGGATGGGCTGGCTATGCCCCACCATCTGGTTCAGAGGTTTATATAGGAAAAATCCCCCAGGATATCTATGAGGATAAACTTATTCCTCTCTTCCAAAATGTGGGGAGGCTTTATGAATTTCGTCTCATGATGACATTTAGTGGGCTTAACCGTGGCTTTGCCTATGCTAAGTACATGAACCGCCGAGACGCCCAGGAGGCAATTGCTTTACTCAACAACTTCGAAATCCAGTCTGGCTCCCCCATTTTGGTTTGTAGAAGCACCGAGAAGTGTGAGCTCTGCATTGATGGCCTGGCACCCTCGCTGAAAGAGTGCCACCTTCTGCCAATGCTGCAGGAACTAACCCCAGGACTCCAAAGCATCTCCTTACATGCCAGCCCTTTCAGGAAGAAGAGGCAGCTGGCAGAGGTGAAATACATTTCCCATCAGGCTGCTGCAATAGCCAAGAAAAATCTTGTGGAAGGTTTGTTTTATGTTTTGCCATAGCAGAAAAAGAATGTTGCTCATGATATTCTGTGAACCAATTACTCTTGTCATGTGCTGGAAATGGTCAGGAAAGCTGCAGATTTCCTATGCATCTGAAGCTTTGAGGTCAGCAAAACTCAGCAACAAAGCCTTTGGAAACAGTTTCTAAGGGTGGTATAATGTGATGAACTTTGTTTAAATCTAACACACGTGGTTGAAATTAAGAGCTCCTCTCTCTTCCCCCAGAATAGAGTATAATGAATCTCTTTTGCATTTGTTGTCTTTTCAAAATGTATGACAAAATAAGTAGGTTTGAGAACAATTTACAAACTAACTCTTCATTACTTCGGAAAAAAAATATTGGACATGCAAAAGTGTATGCAAAAGTAATCTCTTGTCCTAGTTACTAGATTTTCATAGTCTTTTTGTAGAAAAGTGATGGTGAACCTACAAATTGTGTCACTAGTGACATGCCAGGCCTTCACACCCTCTGGAAGCTGCACAAGAGGACCCTGCTCTTGCACAGCCTCTGGAGCCTCTAAAAAGCGTGTGAGAATGGGGCATGCTTTCCTGTTCTTTTGGGAGGCTGAAAGGCCCCACAACCCTTCGCCCCTCAGAGAGGGTCCGCAACTTGGGTGTCCTCCTGGATCCTCAGCTGACATTAGAATACCATCTGTCGGCTGTGACCAGGGGGGCTTTTGCCCAGGTTCACCTGGTGCACCAGTTGCGGCCCTACCTAGACCGGGAGGCACTTCAAATGGTCACTCATGCTCTCNGTTGGTGGGGGATAGAGTATTGCATTCCTCTTCACTGAACACATCTGCTAAATCCAGATATTCTTTTGGGACCAAGGGAGTCCCTAGGAGCAGCCCTACCATAACAGCAGCCTTCTCTCTTTGGTTAGTGTCATTCAGCCGCTGGCAGGCTTCCCTCTCAGTTGAGGTTGGGGGCAGGTATGGACCCAGCGCCAATTTCAATTTTCAGTAAGCCCCTTCCCAGGTGATCATTGGGCCCCATTGTCTAGCCACACTAATCCCAGTATGATGGACTTGGTCATTTTTGGCACCACTATGAACTGGATTAGCTCCCAGTGATGGCCCATCTCTAGTTTGACAGGTTTAGTGACATGTGTAACTGACCCCCCCCCCCCCGCACTGGCAACCCCTCGACCTGTTCAAATCGTATTGGGTTTGCTAGGGTTTTGTATTTATAGCCAGCTTAGTTACTGTGGAAGGCAGCAGGTCCAGCCCATGTCTATGATGGCCTCTACCTCCCCTTGGCATCCTGTATCTGGAACCACCAATTTTGACTTAATTGTGAAAGGACGGATGGCTTCATTTACCATCGCGTTGTCATCACTGCTCACTGCTCATCAATGGCGGGACTTCAGGGACCGGAATTCTCTCTTTCCCTTCTTGGGGGTGTGGGTGGGGCTTATTACATTCCAGCATTTAGCAGACAAAAATGCAGACAACAAAGTAAATTGGGCACCTTTTATTTTTCAAGCTGGAAAACTGGCACGGACAAACAATGAAGAAAACAAAGTCAGTGCTACTGTGGGTTAGCCCTCCACCCCTTAAATGGTCTCTATCTCACCACCGCGGTTTCACCCCTGGGCCCTGCCCCATTTACTTCCTACTCCTCACATGCCAAGAATTTGCCTGCGTCTTTGCCGCATCAGAGCTTCTCATCCATCACACCATGCTCTTTACCAGCATGCCAGGCTCCCTGCGCCTGCGCACGCTCTGCCACCCATCTCTTCTGCTGCCCATCAGCTGTTTATGAAGCCTGCAGCTCAGTTGTCTGGCTGAGGGCTCCATAGATGTGGTAGGCTTCTCATAGATGTGCCTATTCACAGCTCGGCAGGGGCCCGGCTGCGTGTGCACCAGGGGTGGGTTTCTCGCCCCGTTCCAACCGGATCGGTTGGAACGAGGCCGGCGGCGTCCTCGCGCACGCNGACCACTCGGGGGAGGTCTTTCTCTGTAGCTGCTCCGGCCCTGTGGAATGATCTCCCCGCAGAGATCCAGACCCTTCCCACTCTCTCGGCTTTCCGTAAAGCCACTAAAACCTGGCTGTTCCGGCAGGCCTAGGGCTGTTGACCCCAAAATATGGTCCAGCCCCACTTGGAATGGAGTGCATGGTGTGTTTTTTAAATCTATTTTTTCTTTCCTTCTTTTTGATTTATTTGTATTGTTAGCCGCCCGGAGTCCTACGGGATTGGGCGGCATACAAATGTTATTAAACTTTAAAGAGTTCTTTGACTTAGACTTGCCTCAGATATTTACAGGTAAGTATTTATTAAATAATAAATTTAAATAAAGTATTACTCTGTTATGAATCGTGTCTCTTGTTGGAGGCAGGGGATGATATACCATCATTCAAGATAGGCACTGTCTGAATTTGTAACAGGCCAAGCCCAAAGGTTTTGCCATCACTGTTCTAGTTCGTTTAGACAGAGTTGGGGAATATGACCCTTTTATGACTTGTGGACTTCAACTCCCAGAATTCTAGCTCAGGAATTTTGGGAGTTGAAGTCCACAAGTCATAAAAGGGCCATAAGTACCCCACTCATTTTTGAAGAACCTATGTATTGCCAAAGCAGAATCAGTGGGGTACATGTAAACTATGATGCCACTATCTTGAAGTTAGCCGTACTATTAATCAAATGCAGAGAAATCTGTATTGAAATTCAGATATGCATTGCTTTTTGTCTTCTGCAGGTAGCTTGTGTCTCTGTGGAGATCAAATTGAAGTGGTTTGGCTAACACCTACTATTAAACAGGAGCTCCATAATGTCTCAGTTGCAGGTAATCTAAAGACCCTGCCATCCAGCTGGAGCCACAGAAGTGCCCTTCCTCAAATGTCTTCCAGGCCTATAGACTGTCATATGCTACCAGCAAGGGCCAGTGTATTAGATCATTTAAAATTTCAGTGTAAGCTGCATCAGCTGGGCCGTCCTGTAATCTTTACAAAATGTGTGCAGCGGAATCCTGAAGACTGGCTGCAGTTCTGGTATCAAGTGGTGATACCAAAATATCCATCACCCTTCAGTGGGTTCATTTGGATCAAGCCTGATCCCTCTGGCTTGGAAGACCATGAAAAAGTGAAGAATTTTGTGGCCTTGCAGCTACTTAAAGTCCTAGGTAAGTGTGTTTATGGTTTAATTTGGGAAGCAATTATTGTAATTTATTAACTGATCATTTCACAGAAAATAAAAGTAAAAAATACAGGATCTAATTCCGAGCCATTTGCTTCTGGGCTCTATCTGAGATTCAGGTTTAGAGCAGGGGTGTTAAAACGCTTAAGTCTAAAAGGGGCAGAGTTTGCAGTTGAATAATAAGTGAGCAATATTTTTTAAGGCTGGGGCGCCACATGTGCTTGTCCCAGCCATATCATGAAGTGCCACGATCATGGAATTGAACAATTTAAATGTTGCTCTAGAATAGATTCTTAAGAATTACAAAAAAACTCATTGACAAGTATTTCTCAAATTGGAAAATGGTTTTATTCTTAGCCAATTTAAAGATCTATTTTTTGCAAATAATTCCATGTGTGTGTGAGTGTTTGAATTTATGGTAGAGTTGAAAAAGGAGATATGCGACCAGTCTCAGAAGTTTCAAAGATCACTTTGCAGTCACATGGTTGCACTTCTGCTGGTGTTTGCAGCATCCCATGAACTGGGGGGATTGCTTAATGACTGCCACAAAAAAATGTCCTAAAATTGGATTAGTAATATGATTTATCTGTTTTACAACCATTATGACTTGCAACTGTAATGGGCAGGCTCGGTTATGGTCATAATTCAGCTACCTCTATTCAATTCTGGATTAGCATCATCCTGCACAGCTAATTTTAATTGTTAATAAATGTGTGCAAATAATGAGCTTGTGTTTTCAGACCAGTGAAGTATTTTTGGAAAGTGACAAGTATAATAGATGTATAGCAGAATGAGATTGGAAATATCGGGAAAAAAACTGTTTTTCTTTTTCCAACAGGGTACCCTGTGATGTAAAAAAGAACCACTCTTCAAATTAATGAGGCTTGTATGTCTTACTCTTTTAATTGGTTTCACTGAGCCAATTCATAAGGAAAATGTGTGCTGGATCTCTTTTGTCTTATTTTCTGTGGGAGGATTTGAGAATTGTTTTCTGTTCTCGTTTTCATGTTGATAGGCAGATTAGAATTTTCAGTGCACTAAATTATTTAATAGTTATTTTGGGAGCAGTCTATGCAGTTTTAGAAAAAAGACAAGCCATTGGTTACTGGATAATATAACGTGGGTGTAGTCTGAACACAGTATTTAAAATCCAGCCAATGACCAATTTCCTTTAAAATTGTGGATTGTTTTTCTTTTATGTTCAAATATTGCCCTTTATATTTTACTATTTGAATGTCTTTTCATTTCTGATGGTTTGAATTTACATTAAGCCAGATGCCTTATGAGAAGAGCATCTTGGAGATACCATAGTACTGAACGTTGTTAGTGCTTGCTGGGTAGGAAAAAAAAACCCTTTTCTATGAAAAGAAGAATGTCTCTGTAATACTTAATCTTTCCAATATTGCAAACCAGCTTGCACTGGACAGAGAGGCCTTGTTCTGACACCTTTGAAATGCAACACTAAAGCAGATGCTGCATTAACAGAGGAAGCTTATTCCACATGGAAAATAGTAAAGGGGATCTAAGGGGGGAAATGTATATCTTTTACTGCTCTACATGTTTCAGTGCTGGAATTGATATGTAGGGCATATCTATATTAAAGAGGTTTTGACCCAAATGTGTAGTCTCTTTCTGAATTAATGACTTGCTTTATTGATTACAATTAAATATTTCAACGCGAAATTTAATGATTGCATATCATTTTGTTTCTTGCTTTCCACACAAGTATCTTTTTTTAAAAAGCTGTCATATTGGCCATATTAGGAAGAGAAATCACTTTCCTGTGGCCTAATTGTTCTATGCATGAGAACTAGGATCACTACTCAACACTGCTTTAACACAGCATTTCCCACAATTTGCAGGAAATGGAAGCAAAAGTGAGGCCAATGTTCTAAACAAGAGGGCTGCTCTCAAGGTCTATTTTTGCCTGCCCCCCCCCCCTCACCTGAATCTCCTTATGGTTGGTAGATTCTGCTGGTTGCTAAGCACCAGTCGTTGAACAAAAGGTCACACAGTAACTTACACTTTTACCTTCCGTATTAACTCTGCTTGACACAAACCAGTTGTGAAGAGTGTACAGTGGTGATTATGTGACTCATTTAATTGCTGTGAGGGTTCTAAGTGCATGCCAGTTGCAAAGTGCCCAAGTGCCAATTACATGAACATGGGCTACAACGACACTCAGGAATGCAAGGATTGGTCACAAACCCATTTTTAATACCATAACAAGTGGTCAGTAAATGAGGCAGTCAGTGAGAGGACTACCAACAATTTCATTTAAATATACAGTATAAAATTCACATTTTTGCTGTTCTCATATATGTCAACGCTCAAAGTAATAGGTCCCATTCAATAAGAACTCNTCAGGGAAAAGGGCGGCCTATAAATAACAAATAAATTCTAAAAAAATTCTAAAATTCTGACAAACAGCTTGCTGGGTGAATTTTCCCTTTTCCGTGGGTTTCAGCTGCAAACCTTTTGGCTTTGAAGAAGAGGTTTGTCGTCTCGCTTGTGGCATGGGGACTGGGGCCAAGCACTCAGATGCTCAGTGGCCTTGATGTACACCATTGTGGAGGCCCCTCTAAGTGGCTCTTCCAATGGCCATGGGCTGACTCACCATCCCAGTTGTCTTTTAGGCTTCCTCTCTGGGGACTCCTCCTGATGCTGCCCTAGTTTTAAGTCCATAGACACAGCCATCCGATACCAGTCGTGGATGCGATCTGGAACTCCTCGGCAAAGGCAAATTTGAAGCAGTTCCTTGTCTAAACCTTCTTTAAAATTGTGGACCAGCATCAGCTCCGGCCACCAGCTCAGCTTCCTGACAATTCTTCGGAATTCCTGAATATATTCCTTAGCCAGGCAGCCTTTCTCATCTTATTCTCAATTTCTTTCCTCTGCCTCTTGCCCATGGGATACATCTTCAAATCATCTCCTTAGTTCCTATAGAAAGTGACATTTTCTAGCTCAGGAGCCCCCTCATCGTGAAGTTGGGTCATCCATTCCGACGCTTCCCTCTCCAAGTTGTCAGTGAGGGTGGAAACGATTTCCCAGTCTTGGTAGCTGCCCCCATAGCGGTTGATATACACCCATGCTTGGTTTAGGAAGAGGGCCAATTTGTCCGGGCTCCCATCAAACACCGCTCAAAAGCGCAGTGGGGCTTCTCCTTGGAATCGCAGCAGTGGTGGTTGCAGCACAGCCGGTGGATGTGGCACGGCCAATGGTTGCACTGCAACCAGTGGGGCTGGGATCCACTTGGCCTGGACCTGGACCCAGCCCTGTTTGGGCAGAGGTGCTATTCAGCCGGTTTGGACCGGTTCTGGTGTCCGGGAGGGAAAATGTTTGATTGGTTGAGAACCGGTAGGGAAAATTTTGATTGGCCCTGCCCACCTGCCCCCACTCTCACCTCTCCTATATTCTGTTGTTTATTAGCTCAGCTGATTNAAACCTTAAAAAGACTTTGGTTATATTAATAAAAATTATGCATCTCAATCCGACTACAGAAATTTTCATCAAAGTACTAATTTTGCGTGGTTTCTGTGAGTGAAAAGTTGATTAAACATGTAAATACAGCTTAAAACTGAAAGCGTGTAGGACTTTTTCACGCCGCTGTATACTGTGTCTTTCTTAGAATCATGGAAATCAAAGTGCACTGGAATGTTGTGTGTTCTCTCACCGACAGTTGGCGAGTACAGTTGCACCCAAGCATACTTTGTTTCAGTGTACTAGTTCCAGACCAAGCCCTTTTATTAGAAGGTATAATAAATCAAATATTACTTACTCCAAAAAATTAGATCAGGCTTAAGTTAGCCTGAAACTCTTTGTTCCAAGACAATGCTGTGGGGAAGAGATAAGACAAGCACATGCTGTAAAAGAAATAAATAAATTATTTGTTAGTTTTTCCCAGCTTAGGTCTGTAAACGTTTGGGAGGTTCTGAGGTTGGGAAGAAAGGCTTTTTTAAAGAGGATTCTCTTGATCACAGCAGAACTTGTTTTAAAAAGAGACCATCTTAAGAATATTCAGAAGCTTCATCCAATCAAAACGTGGCAGCCCAGTTGCCAATTGGTGCAAAGTATCGAGAGAACTTCTTGTGGGAAGACCAGTGCTGGTTGCCAATTGTTTCCCAAGCACAGATTAAGATATAGACTTCTACCTTTACAGCCTTAAGCAGCTTCTGATTACCTGAAAGGCCACCATCTTGACCTGAATATTTAGACATTAAGACTGCCCTCCCTTTCCAAGGTCCCATTTGCCAGGAATAGAGTGTCTTTTCCTATGTTGTTCCCAAGCTATGGAATGGTTATGCTTCCTTGGGAAATGTGTTCAGCCCCCATTCTTTCTGCTTATAGGAAAACAATGTTTATAGCCAGGTTTTCAATAGTTGGTTCATTCTTAATTCTTTATTTTTTACTATTAGCCATATTTAATCACACCTGGGTAAACATATGCGATAAAAATGGAATAAACATCATAACTGTTTAAAACTTTCAATACAGGACCTTTTTCAATCTGCCAGTTTCAAACTGTCTGGTGCAAAAGCAAAAACATCAAATGGTTTTTCTAAGAAAAGTTGCTTTGCTACAGCAGATTTTATTGATCATCACAACCTTAGAGAAAAATGGGCAGGAGAAAGGGAACCTAAACAGGCTGTGGGTGCTACCAAAGTATGTTTTGTAGGAGATTAAATGCATTGAAGCAGAGTAGAATTCAGCTGGACACTTGGAATCTAATACAAACTGAATGGGCACAATTAGAATGCATCTTATGCATGCAGGTGTCAGATGAAAAAAGACAATATGAAAAGGATTAGGACTTAAGGGAATTGTTGCCCCACCTCTCAAGATGCCATTGACTCAGTTTAAAGGCCATGATGGCACAGCTGGAAGCATAAATATCATAAAACTGTATCTGTCAAACTCTAGATTAAAGCCATGCATTTTAGATAAATTTCTCAAAGCATTACTCTTATGCATTACTGCTGATCCTGTCATCCTCAAATATTTGCAAAACATTCTCAATAATAGCATATTGCAGTATTTGCTTTGCATTATTTAATTTTATAGCAACCAGAACCCAATGCTGCTTCACTAAAAACAAGCAAATAACAACAAAATCAATCCACATTTTCCGATGGCATTGACAACATGGGTAGAGTCAGCTTGAAGCATTTAATTGTTTGTGGCAAATGACAAGCTAATGTTCCCCATCTAAACACAGAAATACCGCACTGGAGGGTTTCATCTTTCAGCATGGGACAGAGAAACTTTCTCCTGAGGGCAGCAGTGCGGGAGACCAATGAAGGCCCAGGACATTCTCCATTTTGTAACCTCCAAAGCCCCCGCCAGCAGTAAGAGTTGAAAACTGATGGAAATTGTCCTTTAAAATAGGGAGTAGATATATTAAGAATAGATATATACAGTAATGGTATGAGGGAAAGACCTTGAGAGATGGAGTGAAGAGATCCTGCCTAAGGAATGATCAGATAAGAGAGGACTTAGCCTACAGCTGGACAGTGGGCAGAACAAGAGGCTCAGAAGTGGCCCTTCCTAGTTTCTTGGCCTTCAAAGGAGATGGTGGGAAATTTGGACTTACAAGGTTTTGTTAATGTACCTTTACAATAAAGTAGAATTAGCTTATTTGGACTTGTTTCTTGTCTGGTCTATCTGGTAAGAGTGACAACAGATGATGGCTATAGAATAAGAGAGAGCCAAATAGTGTAGAGGTTCAGGCATTAAAGTAAAAACTGGGAGACCTAGACCCACCTTACGCAAAAAAAAAAAAAAAAACAATTGGGTGACCTGGGATAGTCACTTAGCTCTAAGAAATAAACAAAGGCAAACCACTTCTGAAAAAACCT